AAAATTGTCAAAAATTGATTAAAATTTAAATTTTTAAACATTTTAAATTGAGTATGCAGATTTATAAACCTCATAAAAACTAAGACGGGAATGGTTTTCGAATTAAAATTAATGCATTTTTGGCTGAGTTGTGAGATTTTTAAAATTTGATTTATAGACAAAATTTTCAAATAAAAATTTCGATAATTATTTGATCAAAGAATGAGAATATTTTAAGATTTCCTATACGATCCTTTAATTCAATGTAACCTTCGGCTTTCCTAAGCTAATTTCCATTCTTGTTGTATTATAAGGCACATTTACATGAGTATATTTATAGCATCTTTTTGATTCTAATTAAAACCTTAAGAGAATTAAAATATAGTTTATTTTTTCAAAGCTGGAATTTATCTTACCCTGATCAAACACTAAATTTGTTATACTACAAAGGCTCCTTCTCAAAATAATTGTCTTTGGAAATTACTCATTATTTATTTCCCTACTTAATATATAACACATTTTCTTTCAGTGCAGCCATAATTCCCGCTCCTTGGCGTGTTTGCTATTTAATGCTCTTCTTTTGGTTGTCTCTGGCGATAATTATAAGGCGGCTGACGACGATGATGCCAGCGGAGGAGACAACATGTCGCATGCATTATATTCATAACGCGGATAATTAATCACATTACGCTTTAAGGAATCCCCCCGACTTTTATTCAATTTGACCCAATGCGCCAGTATCCTTGTAATACATATACATATATCTGTGTGTGGATGGTCATGTCCACTGCGTCAATTTAGCTGCGATGCTGTGATGCTGCGGCCATGGGCGATGTCCATAAGCCGCCAAATCATTGCTCCAACACCGTCAACTGACCCCAAAGGCATCGTTTTGTTGCTTTGTTTTCTGGGCGTGTGTTCGCTTCTGCGGTTGGCTGTTATTACGAGCCCAACGCGGAGCCACTTTTGCCGGCCCCTCTCCTATCCTCAGTCCCCAAACCCTCTCGTTAGCCTGACCATGGCCAACAAGGACACGAATATAGATGCAGACATGGACGGGGCCAGGCAGCTTAGTCATGCCTGCCAGTGCTGCGTCGACATCGCAGCTCCATCTCCATTCCCTGTCAGGACTCCTTTTAGTTACTGCACAGTTAAAAAACGGATACTACTTTCATGGATTCCATTTTATTTTAAATTTATTAGAAAGTGATTTGGTTAATATTTATCTTAAATCTATTAGAATATTAAAGCTAGCTTATTTATATTTTATATCCTTGCAGAGTATTCTGAGAAGCGCAAAGTTTTATTACTATTTAGGAAGACCTTTTAAGACCTACAAATTATTTACTTAAATTCCTCATTATCATTACCAGGCGAGTTGATCTATTCAAGCCTTTTTGCTTAGCTTAAATGCATAAATTGTAAAGAAATTGTATCTCCAAATATACTTATCAAATTCTAAGTAAAAAAAAGAATTAATAACTTCACTCTTTATTATAAAATCCATTTAAAATTGGTTCTGTTTACAACATCCTTGATTAATGCTCCAATTTCTCAGAGTGCAACCCATCCCCCGGTTGTATGTGACTTGCATGCTGCGCTGAGCGCCAAAGTTTTGACTTCAATTTGCCCAGTTACAAATTTTGGTCTTCTCTGGCGGTTTTTTCCCATCGTGTTTTTCGTTTTTCTTTAAACCATTTTCCAAAAAAAAAAAAAACAAAAATAATACACCATAGCCAAGACAAGACGGAAGCTAGAGGAGCGAAAATGTGGTGAAAGACTTGACCAAGCTTTTGGGGCGACGTGTTTTGGCCACATCAGTGGCAGGGCCATCATCATCAACATCATCATCATCATCATCAGGAGCAGTAGCAGCAGGAACAACAACTAAAATGGAAAAGGAATTGGGCTAGTTAGATCCCATATCCCATTCCTTAGAGCAATGCCAAATCAGGCTCAACGAGGGAGTTGCAGATGGTGATTGTGACAGGAATTTGGAGGCAGTTATAATAGTTATAAAAAGTATCATGATATTTAAAATAATGACCTGAACTTCTTGGTTATAATTTTGTATTTACTCTATACAAATTCTATAACATTTTCTTGCTTCAATTATTATTATATATTATTCTTTCTACTTCAATAATATCGAAACACTTGTGGACCCAGACGAGTTCAACGTACAGATATAGGACCCGACCAGGGCAAAATAATGCGAGACGTCTTTGCACTTTTGCCTTTTCTCGGAAGCGGAAATTGGAAAAATGCTAGCGGCATTTTCTTGGACAGGTCGCTCGCTCTCTCGCTCGCCTGGCAAGGATAAAAAAAGCCAACTAAAACAGCAAAAAGAAAAAGGAACCTAAGCTGTCAGCGACAGCATTAAAACTAACAAGAATCGAGAGCGGCATTCTCAGCATTTTGCACATTCCCGGAACGTCGAAGGCACCCGGACACAGGCCCCAAGAGGGGAACAAATCCAGCCCCCTAGACCCGTGTGGCATGCCACATGCAATTCAATAAGAATTTCTCCACTTGCCAGTGTGCACCAAGGAACCAACGAATCCTGGACGAGCGGAAGGGGACGGGCAGGGGGCACAGGGCTCCACCAATGCATGCCAAACACTTGCTGCGGAATTCGTAATTGTGTCACACAAAGGAGCGACGAGTCCTGGCCATAACTATAACCTTTATGGCTACGTGATTCAAAGCCATCGAAAAGCTAATAAACCCAGAAACGGCTTAGCTCGCATTTGTCGCTTACGAGTCCTGTAAAGTTTGTTAATTTACATTTGAGTCCAATATTAATGTAGTTGATACTTTAACTATTGATATGACTATTTGGTTTCTTAAAATCATTAAGGTGTCTTGAATGGGGGTAGTTCTTGCCCATGAAGTTGATTTTCTGAAAGAATGAGAACTAGCTTCCGACTAAACTTATAATACCATTCTTCGATATTTATCTCTATTTTTATACCAATTTTGTCTATAAATCAAATTTTAAATATATCATAACTAAGCCAAAAATGAATTATTTTCAATTCGTAAACCTTTCCTGTGCAAGTTTTTATTAGGGCAACAAAACTGCATACTCAATTTAAAATGAAAAATTTTGTCGATTTTTGACAATTTTAATAATGTAACCCCTTATCTTTTTTTTGCAAAAAATCGAAAAAAAATTTTTTTCAACCGGACATCAGCTGTTGATGCTGATCATGAATATATATGATTAATGGGGTCGGAAACGACTTCTTCACAGTTTTACAAGCTTCTGACTAAACTTATAATACCATTCTTTGAGTCGATATTTATCTATATTTTATATATACCAGTTTTGTCTAAAAATCAAATTTTAAATATCTCATAACTTAGCCAAAAATGCATTAATTTCAATTCGGAAACCTTTCCTATGCTAGTTTTTATTAGGGCAACAAAACTGCATATTCAATTTAAAATGAAAAATGTTGTCGATTTTTGACAATTTTAATGATGTAACCCCTTATCTTGTTTTGAAAAATCGAAAAAAAATTAAAAAAAAATTTTTCATCCGGACATAGCTAGATCGATTCAGCTGTTGATGCTGATCATGAATATATATGATTTATGGGGTCGGAAATGACTCCTTCACAGTTTTACAAGCTTCTGACTAAACTTATAATACCATTCTTTGAGTCGATATTTATTTATATTTTTGTCTATAAATCAAAATTTAAAAATCGCATAGCTAAGCCAAAAATGCATTAATTTTAATTCGGAAACCTTTCCTATGCTAGTTTTTATTAGGGGAACAAGACTGCATACTCAATTTAAATTGAAAAATTTGGTCGATTTTTGACAATTTTAATGATGTTTTGAAAAATCGAACAAAAATTAAAAAAAAAATTTTCATCCGGACATAGCTAGATCGATTCAGCTGTTGATGCTGATCAAGAATATACATGGCTTATAGGGTCGAAAATGACTCTTTCACTGCGTTGTATGCTTCTGAATAAAATTATAATACCCTTGCAGGGGATATAAAAATAATTATTTGACGGCAATTTGGTAGCTTTAAAAATGTTACACTTTGTTTGTTAGCTAATAAATTATTTTCTGTAACACACAATTATGTATGATAGTTATAACCCAAAAGTTCTAACGTTTAATAAACTATTATTTAAATATTTGGTTCTTAAACTAAATATTTAAACTTACCGCCATTAAGCGTGTGACAAAAGCTTATGAATACAAAGTTCAGTTCCTTCGTTAAGTGGAACCATGAGCTCCAGGATGAAGGCCGAATGAATCAGTTCAAAAGGATGGAACTCCAGGACATGGTTCCAAGTCCTTGAGCTAAATGAGCTGGAACTACTTGGAAAGAGGGGCGGTAAATTTGAAAAGGATTCCTTGCATCCTTTAAAAATGAAACATTATTCACTAATAACTAAAAGGGGAAACTAACGAATACCTTCGATTAGCAATTACTCCTTACATTTCGTATAACAACTTACTGATAAATTCAGAAGACGGCTAGATCGATGCTGTTGCTGATGATCAAGAATATATATGACTTATAGGGTCGGAACTGGCCCTTCTTTGTTTTGTAAGCTATTGACTAAAATTATAATATCCTGCAAGGGCATAGTATATCATAAAACCCTAGCCCCAAAAATATAAAATATATAACCCACAAAGTTTCTTTCTTTGTAATTTTATTAAAAATGTAAATTCTGAAAATGCGGAATACCATAGTTCTCTAGACCATTGACAATCAGTTTAGATTTTCATTTGTTTTTCTTCCACTTTGTGTTGTCTGCCGCGCTTCGATCATATGCAATATGTTTTGGGTATGCTGCTGCGATGAACTCTTTCGCTTGTTTACATTTTCAATACCATCGATATTGTTCTTTTTGTTTTTCTTTTGGGATTACAATTATAATGCTGCATTATGCACGAGTGTGTGTGTGTGTGTGGGGTGGGTGAGTGGGGTATGTTTGTGGTTACGATCACAAAATAAAAGAACCAAGCAACTATTGAGGGCAATATACATAGACAATATATATATATATATGATATATACTTTATTTTGTATACTCGTATAACTTAAATCCAAGCATAATCGCGTGACTGACTGACCTTTCGATCGGGTTGATTGGGGGAGAGAGAGTATACGTCGTGCCCTAGGACCCTTGCTCGGGAGTCACAACAAGCTGAATCCTTGTGAATTTGATTTAGTCGCCCAACACTCGCATAGTTATACATATACATATATAGACGTACATACATTCGCGACTGCTTGTTGTATAATTTATGTTTTATAGGTTGTGTGTGTGTGGGTGTTTGTTTATATATATATATATTTCCTAGGCATATCCAATATTGCGCGAAGCAAGCATGTCGTTTTTCACATCTAAAACTTCATCTCTCGATGGAAAAGCATTTTCGTAATACAATTCTGGATTTTCGTTTTTAGTTTTTTTTTTTTTTTTTGTTTTTTTTTAGTTTTTATTTCTTTTTTGTTTTTATCTTGGGTATTTTTCTGTAAGGTTTGGCCACGACGCTGAGACGATTTACGATGTGTTTGTGGCTGATGTTGAGCTGTTCAAATGCACCATAACCAGATGAGGCCCTGCTCCTTGCTTACTGCTCCTCGTCGCCCAGCTCGTGCTTGATCTTGGAAAAGTCGAACGTCTCTCCAGTGCCGCGCTTGAATATGTTCAACACATCCAGGCAAGTGGTCTCGAAGTGCGTGGTCGCATCGTACGACTCCGAGATGAAGATCTGCGAGCCGGCTCCATCATCGATCGGCTCCAAGTAATCAGAAATGGTCACAAACTTTTGTGCGATCGGCTCCAGCAAGTCCAAGCCGGGCTTAATCTCAACCTCCGGATTCTCGGTCTCCACGGTGGTCGAAACCATGCCGACGAACCAGCCCTTGGCGGCCACCTGGTGAGTGGAGCTAACCAGCGACACATAAATGTCCGACTTGCGGCCGACCTGCTTTTGTGGAATGATAATCTGCGTGGACAGACCGTCCTTGGTGCTGGCCACCGGATGGTCCAGGATGCAAATGCAGCGAATCACCTTGCCGCGCTTGCGAACCTGCCAAAGAAAACGGATGAATGGGGTTAATAATGAGTAATATATACGATTTCCTAAACTCAATGCAAAGATTAAAGTGCTGGTACGACTAACCTTAAATATTATCAATTATCAAAAATCATAAATAATTTTGTGTGCAAAAAGAAATGTATACGACGCAAAACCTTAATTCCAAGAAAATGAATAATGAATTAATCAGTAATCACTGATTAATGTGTAGAGTATAAGAACTAATTCTTGCACATGCTTCATCTAGTCGTTTCAGAATGGTCTCGGCACTCTGTGTTCTTGTATTTTTGGGTATTGTTTCCCAGTTTTTGGCCATTGAAATAACGCCAACAATTTCCGATGGTGAGAACTAACTATTAACTTTGAAACATTACATTATTTGCTCCCATTCTCTTTAGGTGTTCCTGAAACATTTAATATGACCAGAAAACCCTTTGAAAAGATCGGGAATGGTTACTATTACTTGGAAAGGAATGTAAACCTAAATTGGTTTGCTGCTTTCGAATCATGCCGGAAAATGGACGCCCAGTTAGTTGCCTTTCAGACCTTGGAGGAATGGAATTCGGTTATCCTCCACCTTGAGAGCAACAAAATTGAGGGTATATTCTGGACCTCTGGCACAGACTTGGCGAATAACGAAGAACATGTTTGGTTTACAACTGGCCAGAAGGTGACTTTGGATAGCATTTGGAATGAAGGAGAACCCAATAATGACGGTGGAAATGAACACTGCGATGTGGTGCTATCCGCTAAAGACTCTATAGGGTTGAATGATCTTGAATGTGAACTGAAGAGACTCTATATTTGTGAAGCCCCACAACCGATTACAGCTTCTTTTGTTATCTGGTAAAGAGATAATAATGATTACTTTATATTCTTTGATTTGTTTACCACCACCAAAGCTTTCAAAAAATATAAATAGTCTAGATAACATCTTCTCCAAGCTGGGTTTTCTCTGTTCCTCTTGGGACCTTTGGTGGAAATTAACATTGCAATGAGTTGGAATACAAAAGGAACCCAGATAACTACAATGATCTTAACAGGACCTTTTAAAGTTATTGCAGTTCTGTCTATTAAATATTAATTTTCCCTAGAACTCATTATACTTTCGTCTTCAAGTATTCTTTTGGGGGTCTCACCTTATCGGGCACGTAGCTGGGATCGCAATAGACCTGCTTGCACTTGGCAATCTCCTCGCCGGACCGCACTCCCACCACCTTGCCACCCTCGCCGAGGACAATCTCGTCGATGGGCTTGTCCAGCATGTAGGTGCCGCCATAGATGGCCGAGAGTCGGGCAAAGCCCTGGGGCAGCTCACCCAGGCCGTACATTGGATAGAGGTAGGGCGACTTGCCGTACCTCGCCAGAGAGTCCGAATAGAGCTTGATGCGCCGGATCGTGTTCACGGCCGGCTCGTTCAGATATTCGTCGTCGCGGAACAGGGCCAGGGCGTGGCCGGTGAAGTCCTGGGTGTTCTTGTCCAGGCCAAACTTGTCGTACAGGCCCTGCATGTTGGCCTTGGTGGGATCGAAGTCCTTCCAGGTCTTGGGGTCATCCTCCCGGAAGTCCTGCACGTAGATGAGGAAGTTCCGGAAGCGACGCTTCTCGAACATACCTGCGAATATATTTGCATTTAAATATCGTATTCGTAATGCCATATTGGTCAGTTCTGGGAACAGGAACTACCCCAATAAGGGAGGCGTGCATGTCCAGGGTTTTAAGTTTCCGTTTCCCTTTTGAATTTGCATGTCACAAACACACACATAAAAGCACAGACACACACACAACTACAGGGCTTGAGCTTGAAACCTCCAATTTAGGGGGCGGGTGGAACCACCACCAACAATCAAAAACCACTTGGCCATTGAATGACGTCATGCGGAGCATATAAGTATATTACAGGGAATCGCTCTTCAGAGGGAATTACTCAAGTTATTGTGAATATAATTATTAAAATAGAGAATTTAAATACATTTTAATTGAAAGATATTTTTCTTGTACTGGGTTTTAATAATAAAATAATAAATAAGTTCATGCCCTGCCAAGCCTCACTGTAAAGTGAAAGGGTTCAATGCTCCGCGAAAAAACGAAACACTAAAAATTGGATTGCAAAAATCAAAACTAAAACAGAAACGATTTAAACAACAATCATAAATAAATAGAGCGTGTTGACTAATTGCACTTGGTGGCCGCTGCCACGAAGAAGGGGAAAACACTGCGGAATTCAACTTTGGCGAATATCAAGTGTAAAAAAGAAGAGACCAATTAAAGGCAGGTGTATGAATCATCTACTATTAAATTTTTGAGTACAGCGAAACTTCTACAACTAAAACTTTAAGCTTTTCTAATATATTAAACAAATAGAAAGTATTTAGAAAACATACCATGTTAATTTTTGTAAATTATATATCAATACGTATGCAAATTATTTGATTTTCCGTGATATTAACTGCTCACTGTAATTCAAACTTTAAGAAGTTTAACCGTATTTTTGTTGTTATCGAAAAAAAAAACCCCAGCAAGAATTCTAATCAGCATAAAGGCTGTATAAATTAAGCAAATAAACCAATTGGACTGAAAAGGTGTGGAAATAAGTGTGGAAATTTGTGGAAATTATCTGGCAACAGAAAAAAACAACTGTTTTCCTACACACATACGTGTCAGTCGTAAACCACAAAAACAACAACAACAACAAAAAAAGAACGTTGGTTTCCAGCGAGTGTGAAAGCTGAGACAAAGAAAGGCTATAGAGAGGAAGCGAGAAGGAGAGAGGTAGAAGAGGAGGCAGAGGGCTCAGATAAGAGTCGAGTACATACACACACACACACACACACACGCACACAGCTGGTAATTTGCACAATTTCGGCAAGGCGAAAAAGAAGGGCGAACAAAAAGGGGGACAGACAACTAACCCATGAGATCCGAGGCCAGGGCCTCCTTCTGGTCAACCGGCACCTTGGCAATCTTGCCGCCCTTGTAGACGTAGCTGCCCTCGATGGACTTGAACTCCAGGTAGCGGGTGACGCCCGTGTGGATGAGCAGCTTGACCAGCTGGCCGTTGGCCATCAGGAACTTGGGAATGAGGTCCACGTTCCAGTCCCGGCCACGCCCGAACCGCTCGCCGGGCGGCTCCAGACCGTAGCGCTGGAAGAGCTCCTCCAGCGGCGTTATCGAGGCGGACTCGCCGCCATAGTACTTGTTCCGATCAATATGCAGCACCTTCTTGCCGGAAACGGACAGCATCCCGCTGAGGATGCACTCCTTCAGGCCCGTGCCGAGCACAATCGCGTCGTATTCCTCATTCATTTTTGCTTTTGATTTCTCTCACTGCAAACGGGGGATTCAAGTGGATTTTGGCTGCTTGTTCCGGCTTTTTGCGTTTTCTACCGTTTTTTCACTGGCGCTGCGACGTTCGATGGTGGACTTTTCTGCGTTCAATAATTTTTCTCTACTCGTTTGCCTCTCGCTCGTTCGCTTTGTTTGTTCGTTCGCGGTCACGTCATCTGCTGGTCACGACACCTTACGTTTACGTCATTTAGCTGCTGCACAGTCTGGTAGCTCGAGTTCGCGGCGTTGCCAGACTTTCGAGTCTCAAGCTCTTACGCTAAAAACATGTTAGATCTAAACTAAAATAAGCTAATTGCCATCACTAGGATTTGTTATATCAGGGTGGCAATATTGAGCGGGATTTTTAAAAATTCATTCAATATTCATTTAACAGTGCCGCTTCTTTCACAGTTGGTACTCCCTTAGAACATTAACAAATATTTAGCTACATGTTAAAAGCGTTTATTTCAAGGCAAACTTGAAAGGCTCTTAAGCTCCCCTATTAGAATTCCTTGAGGAGCCATGGTTGTAGTTGGCTCTCTGGGCCGCCGCTGATCTTGCTGCTGCCGCTCTTGCTTGTGACGACATATCATAGACCTGATAGCCTCCGCCGCTTTGAGCCGCATCATTGCAAGTGGGATTGTTTGCTGAAACCAAACCGATGACGGCCAGTACGGCAAAAAGGATAACCTGAGTAATAAATATTTATTAATTAATAAAAATATTCTTTAATCTTCTGCTGATCGACACTCACCAATAATTTCATCTTGACTGAAGTTGTGATGATTTAAGTTACAAATGAGCTGTATTTATACCCGGAGAGGAGTCGCTTCTTATCGCGTAGAGAGGCCAAGTCTGTCTTAAGCCTCAACTGCGAGTCTCTTCAAAGAGGTTATCGCTATGTCTTATTTTTATTCTTAAGAATAAAATAAAATACAAAGAAAAATCAGTTATTCCTGGAATCAGAATATAAACAATTTTTTATAAGGTTGACCATGATACCCAATTATGCATAACTGTGTCTATTTTGTATTTCTAAGAATTACATGGAGCAAGGCGCAATTATTTTTACACAGAATTATTTATTAAATTAATAAGAATATCTACAATATAATAATTTTAGACTTTTACATCTGAATGGCTGACAAGATACGAACAAAGTTAATTAATCGGAATGTAATATAATATTTACTAATTCGCTTCAATAGATCTATGATGATGAGAAATATATTGCTATTTATGTATATATGTATGTATGTACATACATATTTATTATATAAATTACATTGTGATATCAGTACTCTTATCTTTAATATTAGTCCTACATAAAGTAATTTCAAAATTATGATCAAATCCGCTTGCCTCTTTTTGGTATTTCTCAACTTCGAATTGTCCTGTTTGCTAAAAGCTTTCTGTAAAGCTTTTTTCCTTTCAAAAGTGAGAAAATTATAGTAAAATGTAGGTACATCCTTTGGCTCAATATCTGGCTTTTAATTGTCATAGAATATAGTTTCTAGAAATATTACACACACCAATTTATAGCACCTATTGAAGGTAAAGAAACATAGATTTCAGAAACATCGATTAAAATTTGGCACCGGCAGAATATAGAATATAATAAGAATAGAACATAGAATTCGAAAACGTAGCATAGAATGGCTCCAAAAGATAACGTAGAAGTAAACATGGAACATAGAATACACTTGTTAAAATAAAGCATAAAATACTTCTTCAGTATGAGACTTTAGAAAAACAGTGGAAAAATTGTAGAGTATTTCATTAATAATATAATACATATTATTAAAAGAACAAAACGAGAAAGAATTGAGCTTTTGGGCAAATAAGTCGCATTTCGAATAAATGAGGTGGTGGGATTGAAAACACTCGTTTACCGTTTTGTAAACTTCTGACTAAAATTATAATACCTTGCCAAGTCATAAAAAACAGATGTACATTTTATATAAAATGTTATATTACATTTTATTTTATTTTCATTGCAATGGGTTTCTTTTCATTCAACTTCAAATCGAATAAGGACTTATTAATAGTTCCTATTGAAGTTTTGTGAGGTGCCATAGTTGTAGTTGGGCCTAGGTGCCGCCGCTGATCTTTGTCGTGCCGCTCTTGCCTGGGCCGACATTTCATAGACCTGATAGCCTCCGCCGCTTTGAGCCGCATCATTGCAAGTGGGATTGTTGGCTGAAACCAAACCGATGACGGCAAGCACGGCGAAAAGGATAACCTGGGGAATTTCAGATGTATTCATTAAAATATTGTTTAATCTGAAGCTGATCGACACTCACCAAAAATTTCATCTTGAATTGTGAATTTCGAATTGTCACCTAGAGGCGGTATTTATACTCTGGGGGTTCCTTATCACTTGCAGAACAAAGCTCGTCTCGAGCTTCGGCTAGCTTATCGCAATTATTAAAAAATAAGTTAATAAATAATAAATATGCAATAACCTATTCCACGGAATTCGCATAAAAATATATATATTTAATCTCTGACACTTATTAATATTCACCACAATCTGTATGATTTCGAAGAAATAATTTAATTCAACAAGCTTTCAAAAACCATACGTAAAGTGAAATATTCATTATCTACCAAGACAAAATTTAACTTTATGCAGCTTTAACATGCACCTGGACATAAGTCCTGAGCTTTCATAGCTTATCTTAACCTTTTTTTTTGGTTAAAAGTAAAGCACAGCTACAAACTCCGCAACTTAAAGCCTTAAAGGCAATTTCAACTATTATTATATATGTATTATAATTATAATTATAATTTATAAGCCAAAAAAAAGTGCAATTATTTAAAAACTAGAATTTTCGCGCCTCAATATCGCCCACCTCTGGGAGTGACCACTCTGTTAACTCTCTTACGTTTGAGGGCCATTGTTTCACTGTTTTGAAAAACTTGCTGTTATTTAATATTTTACGTCTTACACGTCTAGAAAACTATTTTACACGTCTGCAAATACATGGGGTCGAATTCTCGTTTTTGGGGTCGAGTTCTCACTTTTGGGGTAGAAGTTTCTACATGGGCTCGAATTTTCATGTAGGAAGTAAAATTCGCTCTCGGGTGCTGTCAGGTGGATGTTGGTTAACAGTTATCGATAGTGTCGGCACGGAAACATCGATTGGTCGAAAAACATCGATGCATCGATGTTTTCATCAATGTTTTCCCACCTCTGACTTACAAGCATATTTCTTTTGTTTTTCGGAAAACATTTTGTTGCTCGCGTTGTCGCCGTTTGTTGTTTGTTTCGTTTCGGCGGTTTTTCGCGTGTTGTGCAGCAAGCGGACCAAACCAGTTCAGTCATACACATTTTCGTGGAGGAAAACACACGTCAATGTAAATGTTTGATTGTTTTTCACTTAAAACGGAGCCAAAAATCGAGCCTCCTGTTTGTGTGCGCTAGTGTGTGTGTTTGTGTGTGAAAAAGTGAAAATGCTATTTGGGCCATAATTGTATTGAAATTCTTAGCAACAACAAAAACCACCTTAAATTTGTGGCAAGAAAAAAATATATAAAGGAAAACACGGAAAAACACGATGAAAAAAAATAACGAAAAAGCTTCAGGCAAAGAAATGAAAAAGTGAGCGGCGTCTTTCGATTTTTGCTGCCTTTTAGCCGTCTTTCGTGTTGCGGTTGTTGTTCTTTCAGAAACCGTAATTAAATAAATATATTAATTGAAAATTCAACGAATTGGCGGAATTCGCTCTCGCGTTTTGCCCTCTCGCTCGCACTAATGGGCTGGCCTGACCTCGGCTATCATATGTTCCCCGCGTTGTTGTTGTTGTTGCTTTGAATGTTTTGTGTTTGTTGCTATGCTGAGAATTTGTTCTCTTTGCCGTTGAAGAATAGCTAAAAATATAATACAAAAATAAATAAATACAAGAAAGCCAACAAAGAAAACAGTTTTCGATCGATCCCAGAGGATAAAAACGCCACGTCTATTGTTTTATTGGGTAAGTTTTATTGGTTTTTGTTTAAATCAAGTTACCATGTTGAAAAAATTGCAAAGGCTGAAGTCAGGGAAAAAAGAGAAAAAAGCATAATAAACCTCAGACGGCGGCAATCTACAGAAAAAACAAGTTGGTTGCCAAGAACCAGTTAAGCGTTGCAGACCAACCACCACCACCACCCCCCTTCTCCACAGCCGACGGGTTTTTACCTGCCCGTCGCTCGCTGTCTCCCTCGCTCCCCCCCCCCCCGTGCTATGGCACAGCATCCGATCGTTCTTCCTTCTCTCTCCCTCGCGCTATGTCTCACCCGGCATTTAATAAGAAGCAAACAAATTCAAAGAGTCGCGGCGGTTTTTAAAATTGCTTCTTTTTTGTAGTCGGCAAATCGGATCGTGTGTGTGTTAGTACGGCTGCAGTTAGCCGATGCATTGCCACACGGTGCACAGTGGGACGGAATCAATAAATGTTCTTTAATATTGACTGAAACTGGAGTTCTTTAAACTTTGAAAGCCACAAAATTAGCGCAGAAATGTGAATTAAGTGACCAAGTAGAGAAAGTATTCATAAAACTATAACAAAAAGAGGAAGTAGTTGTTAAACAAGAAGCATAACTGCTTAAAAGGAGAACAAGTTATTTTACTTATAATATTATATATTCCTTAACTTTTCCTTAACTTTAAATAATAAAAACAAAAGCCCGTTTTGTTCTCAACAAAATACTTTACAACAAATAGCAGCTGTGGAAAATTTTACGCTTATATATGTACCTGGAGTTATTTACATCTCTTACGAACAGAACAGCAAATTGAGGCCCACTACCTGTGTTATAATTAAAATTCCTTCGATGTGCACATTTTATTGCTATATTTTCCGACATGGAAAAAGGGAACTACTTCAATTGAGTCTTGAATTCTGGGTCAGGCAGTGACGTTTTGAACCCTTTTCTGGTTTTATTATCACGACAACCACTGTGCAATGTCTTTGAGTATTTCTTCTGCTCTTCGCTCTCCTTCCAGCATTTGCCTCAATTGAGTTCAACGCTAGTTGACGTTGTTTGCTCCTCGTTTGTCTCTGTTTCTTGCAATCTATTAACCGCTCTCTTTCTCCTCCACTCCCCACATTCTCCTCTCAAGCACTCACTCCCTCCCCCTCCCCCCATCCCCCACTTCTTATTGCTCCAGGTACCGTTAGGGCAGAGCTTGAGGCAATTGACTACAATTCGCAATTCGCGATGCAGTGGAAACCCAAAAGCAGGCAAAGATGAAGCAGAGACAAAAGATGGAAGAGAAACAGAAACAATGGAGAGAAACGGAAGCAAGAGTCGACTTATCTCAGTTTTGTTTTTGTGCTTTTACAGTTTAACGCTGCTGATTATGGTTGGCTTAGTTCGTATTTGATTTTTATGACTGAAATTTAACTAGGTACTTGCGACGAGTCCCTCATAAAAAGTTGACAAATACAGGCATTCAAATAGCAGAGCTATTAAAAAATGGGAGTGTCCTGTTTTTTATAGATTAAATTGATAAAAATCATTGAAAAAAACGATATATTTTAAAAATTAAATGATAGTAACTTTAATTCTATTTATTTCGCTTTCTTAACAATCATTTTGTTGTTTTAATTTCACCCCAGATTTAAAGGGCATCAAGAAAAACATTAATTTATATATGTTTAAGATATGTTCTAATAGTTTTTTTGTATCATTAATACAGTTGTGTTTTTTATTGAATTAATGTTATTCTAACGGATACATTAGATTTAAATGTACATTTAAAACGTAATCATACATGATTTTGTATTATAGTTAAAATGTTTTGAAAACGAAATATGTGTGCACATAATCAGATAATTAAATCAACTAAATTGTTACCTATTCGATCTGATTGCAACAAACATGATAATGTATAATTACCAATGATATTTACCAAAATTTAGGGTATATTATTATTGGATTATTAAGGGAATTGCTTCACCTATAGTTTTTATTATTTCGAAAGAAGTTTATTAACAAGTTTTTGGTTAATGGAAAGTGCCAAATAATATATTGGGACATTTTCGCAATTTCACTATGGCTTTTGTTTTTGTTAGTAGGAAGTTCCCGTTCCTGGCATTAACCATTAACCGTTGCTCTCAACGCGTGTAACGTGATAAGGGAATTCCGGGGAAAATAACTCTTGTATCTGGGTGTACGTGGCCTGGTCGCAAAGCGTGTCTCTTCTTATCACGACGTCAGCTGTCAGAGTGGTATATACTATATAAAGTATGGTGTGTGATACACAGTTAGCTTTACTATATACTATATACAGTAACTCTCCCAATCAAATACCGTAGTCACACTTTCCGTTTATTTGGCTCTGGCCTAACTTAATTGATTCCTCATTGCGTTCTCATGCGATTTGGTGGGTTTCGTGTTCGGTTCTGGATTGTATATTGTATATTGATAAATATTCGATTGCGATTGCATGGATAAGGCTCGTAAAAACTGCTCATTCTGTCATTATGATTTGTGCTTTACCTTATCGGTTATAGCTCAATTTATAAGGTTCAGTGTTATCTTTCGCAATTTACTTTGTCTTTGGCTTGTCATAAACAAAGCTTGCGTCCATTCTTTGGAAATGTTAATTCAATTTTATAAACAAAGTGACTGAAATTGGTTATGTAAGCAAAAGCCATTTTGGACAACACAATGAAAAATTCTAAAAATACAGAAATATGTTATATATAGTTCAAAGGGACATTCCCATGTGTTGACCAATGAAGAAGATCAAAAGTTAAGACGGAAACTCATGCAAATGCTTATAAATAACACATTCCTGAGTTTCTGCTGACCCAAGCAATGAATTTATACTCTTTAATCTTGAAATTTGTGAAGAGAAGCAAAATATTTTGATATGTTTATCGTCTTCTTTTTATTAAAAACTCAATTTATCAACTGTTTTGTGACTTGCATCCGTTTTTAGCACATTTAAACATATTTATTTACGATTTAAAGCAAAGTCCTGATAGAACTTGCAATGCAAATCAACATTTTTGTATAGTTAAAAATATTTATTAAATATTAAAGAGGCGCAGCTGCTCGTTTTATTATTCCTTTCTGGTTCATAGAAATGAAATAAATTACTTTACATTCGCTCTCGTTTACATTGCCTTTACTCCCCTCACCTTTTGGCCATTAAATGTAATGACTTTCGACTTGGCCAGGTGCAAGGGAGGCATATTACTTACTTAGTTCCTATCGAAAGCCAATCGATCTCTGGCTGGCACTGTGGCAAATTGGGATGGAATGCGAATAATTGAATACATTAGTATGTTAATTTCAATTCCAGCGCTTTGCTTAGGCCAAAGGTTCAATCAGTACGAAATTTAGTGTACAAGCGCCTAGGCTGTTGTCTAAACTAGAGGGGAGTCCAAGCCTATATCGTGAGTCGTGAGTTGGAAGTGTATACTTTACTATAGTACATAATATATCTTTAAAATTAAATCTATAATTCAAATTTGCATAGAATAGGTTCCCTTTTGATTCTAATAGATCAATAATAAATCAATTAAACACTTATATATACATATACTCCATAAAAGTACAGATTAACTATCGAAAGTTCTTTTAATTTGCTTGCAAATATCTACTTCAAAATCATAAGAAATCGTATGAATTCTAAGCTGAATAAATCATAAAAAAATTGTAATTTATTCTTAATTTATTTATCACGATCACGAGCTCTTCTGCAGCATAAATTGTGGCCTGTCAAGTGTAGTGACGTTGCTTCGAGGTAATTGAATAGATGGGCGGCAAGTGGCGGCGCCCCCGTCAACAGTTTCTAATTAGTTGTGAAACTTTGTTTGAGGCTTTTTGCTGTTTTCTTTACTTTTTGCTTGGCTTGAAGCTTGAAATTTGTCTCGTTGACGCGAATATTCTCAGGGCGTTCGGAAGTTTTCCCATGTCAAATGCCAAAGCACATCGTAGATTTCGAACTCCATTGTTCGGACTCACAAAGATGGCTTAATTAAGCCAGCCCACAGAATTAGCATAGGAATGACTGAAAAAAATACACTTCTATATAGAGATTTGCATGCGATTTGTCTTGGTCGTTGACTTGATAAGATTTATACTTTTAGTTTCGATTTAAAGTTTCTGATGAGCCATTTGCCTCCATTCTCAGCTCCATATGAATATATTTATTCTTATCGAGGGAGGTAATTATTTATCACTCCATATGCTATATCAATTATACGCCCCGTTGCACGGTCATTAATCTCTGGAAATGGAAAAATGGCACAACAGCTGCCCGAAGTGCTTTTGAACCCGATATAAATGCATTTTAGCTTCCAAGTTAATGATGGGAAATGAAGAGAAAAGAAAACAAAAATGGAAAATCAATCAGAATTCCACGGGAAACTGGTATGAAATAAGCACAGATTTCTATGATTATTGTTCTTGCCAAATTGTTTATAGGTTAGAGAACTCTTCAAAAAATAAATCGTTTAATAAAAGAATGATTCAAATTGGTGCAAATTGTATTTGTAAACAATCAGGTTGAATTCACCTTTTGACCATATGGAGGAGGAGGAGAAGAATCGACCTTTTGCGCATTTTTAAATTTTTGATAGATTTGTACAAATATACACACAGTAAGAGAAACAATTGGTATACAAATCCTTAGATAAACAAAATGTTAAAAATAGGTTTGTGGTAATATTAATTGAAGTAATTTTGTAATTTGAGATATCATTTGAATGGCTTCAACCTAGCATTGTTTTGGAAACGAGCCACAAATTATAATAATTACTAAACATATATTGTTTGTGCTTGCCCGCTTTATATGTATATAATAATTAATTTATAATTGGCCCAACCATAAATGCGTTTTCAATGCAAGGTCGGGTCGATCGGCCATCGGATTGAACTTAAAGTGAGCACTCGAACGAATATTATTGCCCAAGCTTTAATATTCAATATTTATGGTTTGTTCAGAGTGCCTTGCACATGAGTTTTTCACCTCGTCAAATGGCTTTTCCCCTCCCGAGTTCAATAACAATGACAAATGAGCATCTAATGAACGAGAGATATCGAGAATATCTTGGCCAGATGGCATCCGTTTGGTTTTATTTGTATTTTTTTTGGTTTGATATTGAAAATGCAATGAACTTTACATTTATTTTTATAACTTTTACTCGCCCTCGTTTCTCTTTTGGCTTTTCGGCTTATTTTGCTGGTAATCACACCCGGTTTTTGGGCTTGGCCTGGCGGAATTGTGTTTATCTTCTCAATATATATTTCGCATGTGCGTGGCTAAAAATAATTCCCATTTTTGTTGGAGTATCGAGGCAAAAAGCTAATGGCCAGATATCGGGAGATATTTCCACATGTATAGATAGAGGCACTTTGAAGACAGCAGCAGCAGCAGCAGCAGCCATTGAAGTGGCTTCCACTAATTAGCCAGGCCGGGACAGAGAGTAAACTTGTCAGTGTCTGCCTTCTTGGGGGTCGTTTAACCCATCGGTTCACCAAGTGAATAAATCAAGTTTTGGCACTCGAAAGTTTTTGTTTTGTTTCTTGTTTCTTGTAAATTGTAGCTTGTAGCTCGTAAAACGGAAAGAAAGGAAAATTAAAAGTGCCAGACAGAGAGAGAGAGAGAGAGACTTGGTAAAAGTTTCGTTCTTTTCTTCATTGCACTTTTCTTTTTCTGTATACTATATACAAATATATATATTTTCATTCTTGTCTGGGGTGTCTTTTTATGATTCTTGGCCATGACGGAGTCGAGAGAGCAATGAAAGCTAAATGACTAACAGTTTTTGGTAAGAAAGTCTAGCTAAAAATTGAAACTAAAACTAATGCTCAAACAAAGAAAGTTTTATTTCTCTGCGTGATTTATGAGTTTTGTCCAAACTCGGTGATTTTTACTAATTTAGATCACAAAAAACAAAAACGAAGAAACGAAAGAAAATTTAATGCTGAATTCGGTCGTGTGCCAAATTCATTTTTAGCTTTCTTATGCCCACTGAAGATTCTTTTTTTGGTATTCGTAAATATAACGAACATATATAGAAACCGCAATCGAATGTACATATATGTAGTATGTGGAAAACATGAAGATACATATATATATATTTGGCAATCGTATTACGCCATTTGCGCAAAAGTTTTGCTCTTCGGAATGGCTTCCCGAATTAGTTCATCACTCAATGAAAAAATTAAATTAAATACAAATTGATACAAGCCAGTGGAGGAGCAATAATTTGTATTTAATTAATAAAGGAGGAGGAATGGAGGAATGGAATTCATAAATAATAGGTTTCATTTGGGAAAAGCCATCAAAAAATGATATCTATACGTATTAAATTTGATTTACTTTCAATGAGTTTATCATATTTGTTTGGGCTAAGAGGTAATTTTTGGTAACAAAGCTTCAAACCTTTAAAATTTCTTGCAAAGTAAAATAAATCTGAGCTAAGCTTAAATTCTATTGGTTCCATCAAACCTATGTAAAATGTTACCAGTCTAAGATAGATATTTATTATGGAAAACTAAACTTTGTAGAGCAATAAATATATAACATAACATCTAAAAGCTTAACTTAACCCATAAATTCATATTAAACTAAATTATGCATTATTTTTATTCCATTTCGAACTCATTTATAATCTTTAATCGACTTAAGGACTTATTTTTAAAAAGGGAGAGTGAGCCAGACTGTATTTATTTGTATCGAACAATCATTTCTAACCTTGAAATCGGGTATCAAAATATATATATAGAAGGGCTGTCAAGAATTTATTTTTGGAATAGAGGAAGTAACACGCAGAATTTTTTGGTGGCCAACAACCAGTTTTGCGAATTTGAAAGAATGTTTCATTAAAATGTGACCTCGCTTCCGACACTTTTGACAGCTCAAAAATCAAAGTTCAAGCGCAGTGTGAAAAAATAGTATCTATAGTGTCTTTGGACGCCTTGAACTTTCTGTTTTTTGTTGTTTTATTTTATCACTTCGAATGCGACAATCGATTGGATTGAAAAATCTTGAAAAGCAACAATGGACAGATTTTTTTTTGAAGTAGAAAACGCCCCCGCCCCGCCTCTCCAACGCCTGCACCCGCGTTACGCTTGACCTTGCTGGTCTTTCAGCTCGCTTCTGCTCTCTTCGTGATGTTTTCCATTATTTTCAAATTGTTTTTTTTTTTTGTTTTATATTTTTCGTCTTTTTGGGCTGGCTTATCGGAAGCTTCAAGTCTCGAATCAAGGGCAAACTTAAAGCACGCATTTTTATTATTTTATTTTTTTTTTCTCGTTTTTATATTTGTATTTTTGGTGGTTGAGTGCCTCTGCTTGGGTTCGATAAACTTTTGGGCAGCAATTAACCAGCCTCGTTATATTTTTATCGCTTCGAATATAATTAGTAAACGCTATCTCCCTCCTTATTCGTATTTTTACAACTTTAATTTCAGTGTATACAGAAAGCAAAGGGTTTATTAGGGGTTGTTATTAATATTCAAGTTGTAAAAATATGAAAGGGATTATATTTTTAAATCGTGTATAGCTCTTGAAATGAAATCATTCTTTAAACACATAACATTTAAAAGTAAATAAAACGTTATTCAAAATATGCATTAGAACTGTTTTCTTATGAATCGTTTCTTATCTATGAGGGTTTTCTCATGATTATTGCTAATAATCGTAAAATTTAATGTTTCTAAGAAAAGAAATAATAAGTTTCATTATTTTTATATTTTATTATTTTTATACTGGGTATCATAGTTTCAGTCAGAAGCTTAAAACAATATGAAGGATTCATTTGCGACCCTATAAACTATATATATTATTGATCAGCACAAAAAGCCGAATCGATCTAGCTATGTCCGGCAAAAATTTATTTATTTTTTTTTTTTCAAAATTTTGAAAATTTTATAAGGGGTTACATCGTTAAAATTGTAAAAAATTTATAAAAATTTAAATTAATGTAAATTTTAAATGGAGTATGCAGATTTATAACCCTAATAAAAATTAACAAAGAACAGCTTTCCGAATTAAATTTAATGCTGTTTTGGCTTAGTTATGAATTTTTTAACATAGATTTGTAGCAAAAATTTGCATATAAAATTTAAGGGTATTATCTTTTCAGACTGCATTGCAGTGAAGGAATCATTTCCGACCCTATAAACCATATATATTCTTGATCAGTATAAATAAGATTTTCATAAAATTATACAGATAATTCCAGATTAATATATAATGGCTTTATATTAAATTTGATGAAAATGTATTGAAAACTGGAAAAATTATAATATTTTTTTCCTAACGTTTTCCTATTGTTCCTACCGTAGCTATATATCTGTATATATAGTCCACCGATTCGCCATGCTCCGATTTATATACTAGTAAAATTATATAGAAGAATAACTCCATAGTTTCATTCAAATAGCTTAAATTTGTCCCAAAATACATCTCGTACGTGTGAATTTATGATTCCCAACTTGTTCTAACATCCCCGGAACGAAGTGACTGCTGCCGTCCAAGTATCAGAAATGTGTTGTGTTACAAAAATTGCATGTCATTGTTTATTAGTGTTCAGAGTTAGTTACTGGTCATAGATAGTTAATGGTTATAGATACTTAGTGATCATAGTTACTTACTGGTCATAGATACTTACTGTTCAGAGTTACTTACTGCTCATAGATACTTACTGATCAGAGTTACTTACTAGTCATAGTTAATTAGTCAGTCATATATACTTACAGTTCAGAGTTACTTACTAGTCATAGATAATCATCATATCATATGATTCCCAACTTGTTCTAACATCCCCGGAACGAAGTGACTGCTGTCGGCCAAGTATCAGAAATGTGTTGTGTTACAAAAGTTGCAAGTCATTGTTTATTAGTGTTCAAAGTTAGTAACTGATCATTCATACTTACGGATCATAGTTACTTAATGTTCAAAGTTAATCACTGCTCATAGTTATTTAAAGCAAATTGATGATTATATAAATTAGTGATAAATTAATTAATACTTTTACTAATATATCTTTCTCTCCATTTCCAGACAGTCATGACCTCTGCGGCTGAGGAGGGGTCAGTGATGACGCCCCTAAAGTTTGTGTCCAGGTGCTAGGATCTGCTCTTGGACAACTGTTGGGTGGACTACAACTGGAGTTACCTGTTAATCCAGAACCAAAAGGAAGCACCCACAACACAGACAGATAGACAACTAAAAAAACACACACATATCCGAGGTAGATCGTGGCCAGGCCGAAGAAGGTAACCTGATGGTTGTGGCTTGCGAAGATGCCCTCAGCGAACACCGAAGACTTGCGGCGAAAGTTTCTAGTAGTGCAGCAGCAGCGCTCCGCACCGCCAAACCTGGCCGGCGACAGCCTCCAGCCGGCGGTACCCAATGCCGCTGCAACCACCAGCCTGATGATGACCACGTCCACGGGTCTGGGCATGGGCATGGGCCTGGGCGAACCGGAGCGAACCTATGTCTTTCCCGGTGGCAATCCTGTAGTAGGTAGCGCTCCCGGTGGAGGACAGGGAATACCCGGAGTGGCCATAGCGGCTCCATCACGCGGTCATGCCCGCTCTATAAGTCACGGAGGAGGCGCCATAGTCGGGGCCAATGGACGACCCATTAAATCCGCCATGAAGGGCCACCAGCGAGCCTTTTCCCAGGGTCAAATCACGGACTCGCCACCTGGAAGTGCTGCGCCCGCGGGTAGGGGTCACAGTCGTGTGGGTTCCAAAACGGATTTCATCCTGCCGCCGGGTCACAAGGAGGAACCGGTGAGGGAACCCTCGGCCCCAACTTCAGCGACTGGCGGTCGTGGCCATTCCCGGCAAGCATCGCGCTCCGAATCCATATACACACTGCGGCGGACGGAGGCGCCACCCTGGTGGAAACGCTTCACCCTGTGCAACTACAACACCAGCGATAAGTTCGAGGAGCGTAGCTACCGGATGGTGGTGCCCAATCACACAGTGCCGCCAAAGACGCCCAAGAGGGATCATCCCAATGGTCAGTTTGTGGGCAATAAGATCCGGACCACCAAGTACACGCTGCTCTCCTTCATACCCAAGAATCTGCTGGAGCAGTTCCATCGAGTGGCCAATTTGTACTTTATCTTCATTGTCCTGCTTAATTGGGTGCCGAAAATTAATGCGTTTGGCAAGGAGGTGGCCATGATACCGGTGCTATTTGTCCTGGGAGTGACGGCAGTGAAGGATCTGTTTGAGGATCGACGAAGAAGGGCGTCCGACAAGAGGATTAACAACACCACCTGCAGGGTATACGATGGGTGAGTTGTCGATGTTATATTTTATCTATAACTTTATGGAAAGAAAGAAACTTGAAAGTAGATAAGAAATTAATTGTACATCGAATGATAAATATTGTAGGTTTTGAATGGATATATCTAAAAGTAAATATAGGTTGATTCATAAACATAAACAAAGGAAACCTAGAGCTTCACTTCTATCAGAAAGTTAATAAACAAAAAGGCCCAAAAATGATTACAAACTGTCACAAATAATGCAATTTACCAGCAAGTCTCATAATAATGTAATCAAGTGAGCAGATTTATTCACAGAACTAGCTCAAACTGATTTAAAATTGAATTATTCAATTATGTATGTGGGAAATATACAGTCTGTGAATCAATAAAATAGGTCCAAAGTGTTCTAAACAAGTCACGTTGTTCTTCCCCCTAAATTTCTATTCTGTCTATTTGATGTTACGAAAACTTTTCCAGAAGTTGGTCATAACAGTTGAGAAACATCACTCCCGTTTGGCCAGATTTCGTTGTAACCTCGAGGCTAGACACAGATTTTAACGAGCTTTGGTGTGGGTCTGTCCTGGATTGTTATTTGTTTTCACTCCCTCGACCACTGGTTGCACATGGAAATTGCTGATGCCCCTGTCTGCGATTTGTGCTTTGGTATATATGTATGTATATTATTTTAAAACGTGATCTAGAAATCGATAAGCAGCCACCGCGGCGGCATCGGCTGGGTAAACTTTCCCTCACTGTTTGAACTGAACCCACCGCCATTGCCATTGCCCCTCATCCCTCATCCCATCTGGTCTGTGCCTCTTGTGGTTTCTGTTTGGCTTTGGGTTTGGGTTTGAGACTGTGGCTGGGCTTTTGTCCCACATTTGCGCGTGGTTGACGCATACTTTTTTTTATTTTACCTGCCTCCCCCGGTCTGCCTTTCCACCTTGTTGCTGGGGCAAGACTTTCCAACCAAAGCGGCGATTTACTTGCATTGCACGTGTACTTACACTGCTACCAAAAAAGGGGGTTTTTTTGTATAAATAAAAAATATGTAAATACTTGATTTTGCTATTTTATTTGTATACAATTGTATTGAAGACTTTTGATCTTTACAATTCAAACATATTTTATAAATTCATAAAGAAGACAGTCCCTTGATATTTGATAATGAGTTATATCTCTTGGAATTAGGCTTTTCTGAATATATTTTCTTGAATATTTCTTTGAAATATTTATATATTTTTCTCCTTTTCTGTGTAGGGTCTCTTAACTATATTTAATTTTAACTTTTTCTCTAACTATTCAATTGCTGAGTTGGCTTCTCGCTAACCAAAATAAACCCCTCCAAAGACAAAGAGACCGGGTCCGTGTATAACTGAAAAACTTTATGGTCTCTGTAGTTCTCCTCCATATCAATCCATACATATGTATGTATATTTTTCTATTGTCCAACATGTGTGTGTTGCTGACCATTGAACTTACTTTGTTGTTTGCTAATTATATTTGCATTTCCCTATTCTCTTTGTGGCTCTTTGCACAATTGTCATAAACCAAAGCAGTATTGTTTGGAAAACGTACAGTGAACAGTGGTTGAAAGTTGGTAGATTATAAGTATAAAAAACCAAATAGTTATTAAATACATTATAACAAACCTTTCCTTGTTACCAACAGGTTTTGGTAGGCTTTAAAAACCCTCTCGAATTAGTTCTTATATTAAATCTACAAAATATGCTATATATGCTCAGGAAACTATATCAAAATATATGTAGGAATATTCAAGAATAATACATTTTAGCCCACAAACAAATTCGCAACCGTTATAACCCAGTGGAGCTGTCCTTTCACAAAAGGCCTCACTTTGCATGCAAATAACACGCATACGGGCTCCACTAAATATGGTAGTTTTGGAGTCAACCGACTGGACAACTGACTCACAGCCGGTTGAGGGGCTTTTGGAGGCTATTGAGAGACTGGAAACAGGCCTACCACCGGTACCCAAACCCGTACCCCTTATCCATACCCCTTAGCCATACCCATTACCAGTTTAATGGCCCTGACCATCTCACGCTTGTCCAATTTTTGTCCACGAATCGAATTCAAGACCATGTGCAAATAATGATGAATCATGAGTGAATTACCGGAGTTTTCATTGCTCCATATTTCGCTATCATTGTGATTACGAGTGAGCAAAAATTATGGGATCAAGGTGATGACTGAAACTGACTGAGAAATACTTGAATTACGTAGTAGTATTTATTTTTGTTTTGGGAAAATTTCACTCACAACCCAAAGCCCGCCCCTGTGTGTGTTAATTGCAACCCAATCGAATCACTTGCCATGTGCTAAACGGACGATTAAACTTAAATTGAAGTGCGAAAAGTCTGCGGTTTTAATTAATTTCCAAATCAATTTGCACAAAGAAATCTTTAGAGAGTTAGTCATGGAGAGGCATTCAGGAAGTAGAAGGGAAATCTTTAAGGATATTGTCTTATGCAAATATAAAACTAGTTGGAGAAAAGTAGGATAAATATAATTCAAAAGGATTGAATGACAAATGAATCATAACTCTTTAAGCTATTCGAGCCGTTCGAGTGACTCAATAATTAACGAGAGCACCCACTCCGAGGCTCCTTGGGTTATAAAAACCCTCATTTAGTCATGCTGCTCCCCGAATACTTTGAATGATTCAATCAGAGGAGCCTCCACTTGAGTCAATTCCCAGTGATTGTGAATGCATCCACATTCCCTTACTGCCATTGATATGGGGTATGACTCGATCGCTGAAAGAATGCAATAAGTTTGCAATCAAAACAATATATATCTGCACAAGTTCCCCCAACCATATTCACAGTGAAGACGACTGACGAGGTCATCCCACTGGTTTTTCTGCCTTATAGTCACATTTTCTCTCAGTTTTGCAGAATTGCATTTGCGCTGTGCCCACACTTTATGTAAGAATATTATGCAATCAACTCTCCGGACATCTGGCGATCTGAACAAGTCCAGAATCGTGCTGAAATTAAGCGGAAATTGTAAACAACAATTGCCACTCACTGTGCAATAAATAAAAGAAATATTATTATTTTGCGTTGATTTCTTGCTGCACAAATTGCATTCCCGGGCAGTGGTTTTCCCTCTGAAATAACCTTATGATATGGAAATGTAATTAATGACAGAGAAACGTGGACCATAAAATCAGTAATTTTATGGTAGTTATGAAGTCAAATAGTGTGAAATACACACATGCGGATCTTGAGCTTATTTTTAAATGGGACACGTCACTAAATGAAATTTAATGAATGTAATTATGAAGAAATATTTTGTAAGGTTGCATTTTTTCTAGCACTTTCTAAAAAGAAAAGTCTTGAACTTGACTTGGCTTTATAATAATCAATAATCCCATTTAGAATTCCTTTTAACCTTAGTTTTGTTCCTTTTACCAAAGCTGTCTTGATTTGAAAATGCCGACAAAGTGAGCCCTTAAATATATAGGTGACACTTTTACCTAACTGATGGGCGTGGATCAGCTGGCATTTCTCCCAGGTGACAAGTGTGCACTTTCACCGAAACTGCATGAATATATTCCGTTGTTGTGTCAACACCTGAGGAAGAACCAGACGATTCTAGACCGTGTTCTAAGGTCTCTGCATATAGAATTTGGAAATATAAAATATATATTCACCAAGGTTGTGGGAAGAATTTGTGTAAAGCACGTTGGTTTTGTGGGTTTACAGTAGCAGTGAAGGTTAACCTTGAAAAGCCATATAACCAAATGTATCTAAAGTGGGAAAAAGGTAGCCTAGATTATCAATAAACCTGTGATTCTTTGGAGTTCTGTATTAATTTCTCTCTGTACAACCCAGAAATAAATATGATAGTTATGCTCTACTGAGGCGGATCTGTGTTCTCGTGCTGATCTCCTCCGCTTTTGGGTTAATGTTTTTTGGCCGTTGTTTGCCATTTGGTAAAAGGCTTACACACACACACACACACCGATACACACACTGTGTGTAAGTCCGAACTCATGACATTGAAAATGCTAAAATACAGCAGCAACAGAGAGACAAAAACGGGTTTTTCCATATTACCCCCTCATTCAGAGAAAAACCGGTTGGCCAATCACTGTTAACTGCCTCCAAGTTGGATCTCAGTCTCAGTCTCAGACTCAATCGCCGGATCTCAGCTTCAAGCCTGGGAGAGACTCAGACAGAGACATTTGTCTAGCAAAGAAGAATCGTTGAGCCAGAATCCAAAGTGGAGGCCAAAACCCGATTCCCTGAGAAGTTGGCCATCTAATGGCCATGTTAACAAACCCCAAAGACCATTAACACCAAGCTGCAATTGCTGTTTGCTTCTGCTTTTGGTCAAGTTTTTCCGATTTGCTATCTTCACTTGTTTGCTGCAGTGTCACTGACTCTGGCCAGTTTCCATTTGTGTTTGGGTTCAAGCCAAAGCCAAAGCTCAGGGCGGAGTGTCCGGGGGCTCAGGGACAAGTTCCGGGGAAGTGGCTAGTCCGCGGAAAAATCTAGCCACCAAGGTGATGACTTTGGGTTCAAAGAAACACACAAAGATGGAGATACAAAGATCTAAGGCTGCAAAGAATAGAGAAGCAATTATGATTACAAAATGCAAAAACTATAGGTGGAGTGGCGAAGAAACCTAGTAAGTAGTAGTAAATGCTAGTTTTTTCCCCTATTTCATAACAAATTTAGCTTCTTATCTTAACTTGTCTCTCAATGTTTGATATTAAATACAGTTTTTGCTATATCTCTGAAGTACATTTTATTTCTGGTTCTAGATAGATCCCGGAATATCATCCTGTTGTCAGGAAATGCCCACAAAAACACGATTCAATTATTATTTTTTAGTTTCCTATTTAATCAGTAGATTGAAGTGTCACCTGACAGTCATATACATATAATTTAATTAAAGTGTAATCTTTGTTTTTTAGCGCTTTTAACATCCGCAAATATATTTTCTCCATTTGGTATTATCGTTTAGTGAAACTGAAAGACAAAAATTCC